TGAATTTTTATTTCATTCATTGAGATTTTCAACTGCAAGCCTCTTTTGGTTCTTTTTAAAATAAAGTCTTTGTTGAATTTCTCATTCAGGTCATGAATTGTTTTCCTGATTTCATTGATAAATTTTTTTGTCAGTTTTCTTTTATCTCACTAAGCGTTCATGGATTGTTTTGAATTCTTTTTCAGACATTTTGTAAATTTACTTTTTTTGACACTGAAAAATATTCTTTGAAGGTGCCTCGTTTCTTTCTTATTCATGTTATATGTTATTCCTACACTGATATCTATGCAACAATCACCTTTTCCAATTTTGTTGGTTTGTTTTTTTCCTGGTATGGTATATAAACTTTGATTTGGGGTGAACTCAGTATTGTTGCCTCTGAAGTTTCTTGTAATTCTTAACAGTGAGACCTATAGTTACACTAATGGCCTGGGCTGCAAATGTGTGTTTGTGGTGGAGCTGTGCTGCCACCTGGATGACTATCAGACTAGGTTTGGGTGTGCATGGGTGCTATGGTTCAACTAGCTGTGCAGTGGGCTGTCTGGTCAAGCATAAGCATAAGCACACACAAGCCACCCCTGTGTTTTGACTTCTCATCTGTGCAGTCTGCTGGCTCCCTGTTTGGAAACTGGGGGCTCACCTTCTCTACTGAGCCTAGGATCTGAGCAGCCAGGATTGATGTGCTGCAACCCAATGTATGTAATCATGGTGGAATGATAACAGTCTCTAGTATGGGGTTATCCTGTGGCTAATGAGCCCCTTGCAGGAGGTATAGTGCTCTAGAGGTGGATCTGTTTTCATGATGGTACCAGATCATAGCAGCTTGTATCATGGTTGTAGAGGATATATACATGGGCTGTATTCTGTGGTAATACAGTTGGATGAATTCTCAGCAACTCTATAAACTATCCAGGGACATAAGAGTCTCCTGGGTAGTAGTCTTCAGTAGCAGTAGGGACTTTTGGGGTCTCCAGCTTACCATGCCTCATAAGGAGACGTCTTGGTTCCTAGCCAGTCTTGGAACAGAAGATGGAAGAGAGACAGTGTACTTCATTCTTCTTTCTGAGGTCCTATCTTGGGTTTGATGCTCCACAGGGATCTTGTTACTTCCCTGCTACTTTACAGTGTATTGCCTCAGTCACACCTGTCAGAATGTCTTACTCTTCATTATGATCTGTTTTAATGAGCGGACTTTTGGGCCATCTTTATCTTTTACTTTTTTGAAGCATGTGCATTGTTAAGAAACCTGAACAGCACAAAATGACTCTCATACTTGAAATTCTCCTCAACCAGCTTTCTGACTTCCTCAAAGTCAGTCATTGTGTTTGAGTATTTTTACTCAGAAATAGTTAATATATATTGAAGCTTAAGCATATATAAAACTTTTTTATATATATACAGTTGCTCTGCTACATTTAACGCTGTGCAGTAGAGATTGTTCCATTGATAGGAATATTGAGGTCTATTCCTTATTTTAAATTAGAAGCATAATATTTCATTGTGTGGATCTACAGTCCTCTTATCTAATAATGTTAATAAGTGGTATTTGGGAATCTTAAAAGTGATCTCTAAGCATTTCAGGGTAATAATGTATGTGCACTAGCTGATTTTGTTTTTGTGTGTATTTGTTTTGTATCCATGTATATACACTAGGGATTAAACCCAGGGATGATTTACCATGAGCTGTGTCTCCAGACTTTTGTTTGTTTAATTTTATTTCTAGAAAGGACCTCAATGAGTTGCTGAAGTTGGCTTTGAACTTGCAATCCTCCTGCCTTGTCCTCCCTTGTTGCTTAAATTATAGTTATGTGGCACCCAGTCTGGCTTGATTTTTTTTTTTTATTGATTCTAGACTTTTTCATTGATAATGTATTGTCCACTGATGGGAGTCCTTTGTCCTCTTTCTTGCTTAGATCATACCTACGATGCATTATTTGTGCCTTTTGAGTTTCTTTAAGTGATGTGAGAAATTAGGTCCTTAGGAAAAAACTTAAGGCAAACCCTTGAGACTTTTACTGTTTATTGTTCAAATTAGTGTTTCCTTGTTTTAGCCATATGCAGTAAATAGCACTTTCTTTTTTTGGTAGCAAGTCATTATTTGGTCTATTTATAGTATTTAGCCTGGGATAATGAAATAACAGCCTTTTTTTTTTTCTTTTAGGATTTTCATATCATCAGTTTGTAGGTTGTTAGATAAATCATATTGCTAAGATAATGGATCCAGTTAGCACAAACAAAAGTGGTCACAAACATATCTTACCCTTGATAAACACACAGCCATTGTGTCAACAAAAATGTGTGTGTTAATAATACACTTACTAATCAAAATACTTAGTGTATCAAAAACATCATTCATTTTATTTAAGAGTATTGATTAATCATGTGGATCTGTTAAATGAAGATTAAGAACTTCTTGTACCATAATTTTAGGTAACCATTTGAGAAGCATCAATATTGTTTCCAGCATTTTGTTTGAGTCAGTATAGTTAATCATTGATTCTGTGCACATGTAGAAATATCTTTTACTTTAAAAATTTCTTGACATGTAATTACTTTGTATCAAGAGATTATCTTTTTTTAAACTTTATCTTAACACATTTTGATGATGGGAATAATAAATATTTTATTGCCTAATTTTTTTAAGTTGAGATAGACACAATACCTTTCTCTTATTCATTTTTTTATGTGGTGCTGAGGATCAAACACGGTGTCTCACATATGATGGGCAAGTGCTGTACCACTGAGCAACCCCAGCCTTTAATCAGTTCCCCTTTTTTCTTAAATTTTATTTGTAAAGAGGAAAAATTATGTTCATGTGAGTTATAAAATACATTAATAGGATTTGAGGCAATGAATCACAGAATTCCAGACATCTCTCACATACAAATGACTCACTTTATGTGTCATTGTGTTATGTGTATGTTTTCCCCTGTGTGATAGATATATTTCTCAATTTGACTAGGTTGGATCATATTTAAACACTGAGGAAGTTTGCTGTTTTAGTGATTAGCATTGAAAAGCCTAGACCAAGAATCTCTTTTTAAAAAATGACTAAATCAGTACTCAGCTTTGATAGCTAGATATTTCTGTTAGCTTTTTTTAGTAATTATTTGTTGAATAATTTCTGTGCAGTGTATTCTGTTTCTTGAGACATATCTTAGAATAAAAAACATGGTCTTGTTGAAATTAACTGTGGTTAGACAAGAACTCTTTTTAGCTTACTAAGCAATTTAATGTTAATAGCAGTATACCAACCTCCCTTATAATATATCATCATTATTATTACCTGTCAATGTTTAACCCCTGTTTTGCCTGGTATTTTTTTTTAACTCCTAATTTATTCTCAGTGGCTCAACTCTCTTAGAATAATTGAGTGATTCCCCAAATAGAAAATTATTATAAAATAAACTTTTTATTTCAAAACAAATCTTGAGCTACAATAATTATTCCCAAATGGTAAACTGCATAAGTTTATTTCTCTTAATAGTCTGGAAGTTAGTGGTCCAAATTGGTGGGCAATTTTGTTCTATGAGATCATTCAGAAACTTGTTTCTTGGAAGTCAGCTAGGATTTTGGTCTATATCTGCATGTCCAAAGCATGCTCAATTTCACATCTGCTTTCCAGCCTGAAAGAAGTGGGAAAATATTAGTCCACCTCTGAGGTAGTTGTCTTGTAAGTTGAAGATGATCTGGAAGTTGTTTGCCTATTAACTTGCAAGCATATACCATTGTTCCATATTGATCATAAGTAACTCCGTAGGGTAGGAATGTATCGTTTTCTGTGGCTGAGTGACTAGCTGAAACATTAGTTCTATGGACAAAGGGGAGACAAAGCAGAAAACAACTAATAGTCTGTCATAAAAGCCTACATCAGAAACATTGGATATGAACTTAAAAAATAAGTATTTCTAATTAATAGTTTTCAAATGTAGTCAAGTCAGCAATACTCCATTGTAACTTTAGATGGGATCTGTTAATTATAAAATCCCTGAGTGTGATATTGTCCTAAGACCTTGCTTCTCCAACTGGAAGACAGTGTTGTTCGGGGAAAGGAGGTCCATGAAGCATATTAAATGTAATTTTCTTTCCTGGAGGAAGATTTGGAAAAATGTGTTTTCTTATGTTTAAAAATGACATTCATGTTTTGGCTGTAAAAGTTAAAATGGCAAGAGCATTAAGGAAAAAAATCTTAAAATTGTTGTAAAAGATAATTTCAAATCTCTAGAAATAGTTTCTTTGTGCCACTGTGAGTATTCCTATTGAAACATTTTGATAAGCAAGTCTCTTAGTTTGTTAAGATTTGTTTTATTAAGTCAACAACTACTCTAGACTATATAAAAACTGAAATTATATTGGAAAGGGAAAAAAAGTATTGTATACAAGAATTTGTCCGTGTATAATAGCAGTATAAGAAAGACTGAGAAGCAGTTTTTTTGTCATCTAAATTTTTGTTTTTATTCTTTAATGCACTTTGTACAGATTGAGTGTTCCTTGCCAAAATGCTCCAGTGTGATTTGGATTTTAGATTTCCAATTTTGTAATGTTTACATATACATAATAAGATATCTTGGGGATTGGACCTACATCTAAACATGAAATTCACTTGTTTCATATAAACCTGAAACACATAGCCTGAAGATAATGTTTATACAACATTTTTAATAATTTTGTGCATGAAACAAAGTTTCTGCGTATGAACTTTTCTATTTGAGTCATTAAAACCCTCAAAAATATTTGGTACTTGTGTGCACATTTTGGGTATCAGATTTTCAACATAAAAATGCTCAACCCAGACTATTGTTTCAAGGCCAAAAAAGAAAAATTTTAAGGCTTTTCTTATCAAGGAAATAACCTAATAACCTATGTTTTGTCAGTGGGACTTGTATGCTAGAGTTATTGAAATAATAAGTTGAAAATTAATAATTTTTTTCTTTCATTTAAGCTGTATAAAATAAACTTCATTTTGAAACCAATATGCTGTCTTTCCTTTTTTATTACAGGACAATGAAAAGAGAACCCCATTACATGCTGCTGCCTACCTTGGAGATGCAGAAATCATTGAACTCCTTATTCTATCTGGTATGGTCACCTCTATGTAATAAGAATACATTATGTGTATTTTTGTTATAATGTGTCTCAAAAATAATTATTCTTCATATTTGTTTTATATCTGAAACTTATTTATTCTTACTATAAAAATTTTGATTACTTAGATCCTGTTCTGGGTGCTAAGAGTACATTAAAGAATGAAACAAATATTGCTGCCTTTACAAAAATTTATGATCTAATAAGGATGAACAGGTGAATATGAATAATAAATACAAATAAAACTCACAGTATATTAAAAAATAAATACTATGAGAAAATGAAAAATATATAAAGATAATGGGAGTAGGGGATAAGCATTATAAATGTTAAAGTTTCTGTAATAGGCCTCATTGTTACCTCAGTTTGGTAACAAGTGCAGCAGTAGAAGTAGTTAAGATATAGTCTGATTATAAATGTATTTTTCAAAACAGTGCCAGTAGGTTTTCTGTCTTTGAATAGTTTTTATCTAATTCTATTTCAGAGTCTATAATGTTCTTCAAGAAATTATGCTTTTTTAAAAAATTTTTGCTCAGTTCTTTGCATTGTTTATAATTCAAAGTAATGCTAGAACTGTATTCAAATAGCTCCAATTGTGGTTAGACTGCCTACATTCCTAAAATAAGTAGTCAAATAGATCTTAGAAATATTTTTGCTAAAAACAAATTTTTTTTAAAAATAGGACAGAAATTTGTTAGAGCTAGATTTTTAAGATATTTGTTAGGAAAGAATAACTGCAGTTGAACGAATTTTGGTGTTGCCAGATTGCACAGATATATGCATAGTAAATTTGGAGAAGTAGTAGTATTCCTTTGATATTTTTAATTAGGATACTCCTTTGATACTTCTCTCAGTTCCTAAGAACAGAAGTCTTACACAAAGATCCTGTTAAATAGTAGCTCCCATAGAATTTTGCCATTATAAACCCATAAAATTTAAAAGTCTATGCTTATAATGAACTTCATAATAATTAGAATCAATATGGGTGGGTATGGACTCAACTTACATTTTTTAGTTTATGAATTATTTCATTTGTGATATATTTCCCTGAAGATATTTGTTCATCTATAGATGCTCGCTAGTTTTAAGCTAAAATTTAACAGAGATAAAAACTAAGGATATTAAAAAAAATAAATCCTGTTTCTTCTTAACTGGTTCATCTTCTCTAATAATGTAAATTGATAGGCCACAGATTTATATGTGAATGAAAAGTTTTGTCACAAATATTGTCCAAGAAACAGTTTCTTTTTTTACACGGGGAATTAGTCATGCTACAAACAGTAGAGTTCCATTTACTTTATTTATTCATTCATTCATTTATACTTTTTTTGGTACTTGGGGGTACTTTACAACTGACCTACATCTGCATCCCTTTTTATTTTTACTTGAGACAGGGGTCTCACTAAGTTGCTTTTAGGGCCTTGCTGAATTTGCTGAGGCTGGCCTTAAATTTGCTGTCCTCCTCCCTTAGCCTCCCAAGTCACTAGTTTTATGGGGGTATGGCACCATTCCTGGCTTTCATTTACTTTAATGTTGATGACTTTGGTAAGAATTGTATTGCTATATTTCTTTATTTTAACATAGAATACTAATTGTTACTTTTTGTTTTATCATAGACATTATTTTATTTGATTCAACATGAAAGGGTTTTTTCCCTCCATTTTTAAGTGCTGGGGATTGAACCCCCAGAGCCTTGTACTTGGTAGCAAACACTCTGCCACTGAGCTATGTCATTTTAGATTTTTATGCCTACAAGAAACTTTCCACATGTTCATGGTCAACTTAATCCTCTCCTTTTAAATGTGAATGTTTGCAAAAGGATTTTCAGTTTTTTGTAGAAAATTGACATCCTTTTCTTTGTAAGTATGATAGATGAGTCTTGTGTGTTCAGATGTCCGCATTTGAGAGAATGTATAAAATTAACTGAAGTATGTTTATAAAAAGCTTTTTTAACTTGCCTTTGAAAAATATTTTAATATGATATTTTATCAGTTTCATAAGGTAGAATAGCTCATGTAGCTTCTTTTCAAAGGAAAAATAAAGTTTTAAATTAATTTAGTTATTCACATTTCTCCTTATAAAAAGGTAAGTTTTTGCAGTTGGCCTGAACATTTTATATGTACCTCAGTTCCCCACCCCTGATTTTTTTTTTAATTTCAGTTTTTGTTACTCTCCTTTTTGCTTGCTCTGCTCTGACCCTCTGGCCTGCTTCTACCTTTGGGTGTTTGCACCATTGTTTCCTCAGCCTCAGACTTTTAATTAGTCAGTCACATGACTTACTCCTTCACCTTTTTCATGTCTTTGCTCAAATGTCACCTCATCAATGAGGCCTTCTCTGATCACTACCACCACCTCCACTGTCTAGTCTCTCCTTTGTTATCTTTTTTTTCCTATTATAGTTATCTGAGATCCTTTTACTGTTATGCCTGTTTTTTTGTTATTCTCCGTACTAGAATGTAAACTCCAAGAAGTCAGGGATTTAGTCTACTTTGTTTCTATAGCATATTTATTCACATACCTAGAAAGCTCTGAGTGAGTATAATCACTTTGTACCCACAGGAGATTAGTTTCAAGACCTCTACCCCTATTATATATCAAGATCTGAAGATGCTCAAGTCACTTATATAAAATGACATAATATTTGCAATATAACATTTGTACATCTTCTTGTATACTTTAAACATTTCTAGATTACTTAAATAATTAATAAAATGTAAAAACCTATGTACATAGTTGTTACACTGTATTATTTATGGGCTTTTTTTCAAGAGGTATATTCCTGTGATGAAGTTTACTTTGTAAATTAGGCACAATAAGAGATTAACAGCAATGGATTTTAGCTGTAGATTTTAGCAACCTCAGCATATGATTTTTTTTTAATTTCCTTATTGTCAATAACTTTCACTTTTTCACATTATGGCTTCTTTTGGCATATCCAAATTGTGAGCATCACTACTCTCGTAGTTTGGGACTGTATCAAGTAAAGTGAGAATTTCTTGAACACTAACACTGCAATACTGAAACACAGTACCTTTGATAATTGAGAAGTTGAGTTATAAATTTGTGTTGAAACTATACACTTAATTTGTCTGAAACTGTTGATTATTTTTATTGGGACATAATGTGAATGTGCACTTAAGTTTTTTTTTTAGATTTTTACTTTGTGTGTGTGTGTATTTATGTTTGTGTACTGGGATTGAATCCAGGGGTGCTCTATCACTGAGCTATGTTCCCAGGCCTTTTGATTTTTCATTTTGAGAGAGGTCTCACTAAATTGCCCAGGCTGGCCTCAAACTATCTCCTCCTTCCTCAAGCTTCCCAAGTAGCTAGGATTACAGGCATGCACCACCACACTTACTAGATTTTCTTCTGAGTGTCTGTGTATATACCCTTTAGGCCTTACTGTCAGGGCTTGCCCTTCTACTATGCATGTATAAAGAACCACTGAAGTCCTACGCAGATAAATGAATAAGAGAATGAAGGACCTTAGTTTCTGTATCACCCTTTCACTAACTCTGGGACTCCAGGCTTCCATCCAGTGGGTATTTCAAATGTTTCTAATATTTTTATTCTACCTCCTACCCCAAACAAATGCTGACCTTACTGTGTTCAGGCTATCTGTGTTTTAACCATCTTCTGTAAGATGGTTGCCCAAGTATTTATTTCATAAAGATACTACTCTCCATCTGAGATGTAGCTCAGTGGTAGAGTACTTACTAGCATATGTGTGGTTCTGATTTCAATTTTTAAATCAGAAAAATTTAAAAATTTTAATTTTAATACTTCTTTCTCTGGCTGGGTCTTTATTTTGCTGATTTTTCTTTTCCCAAAGTCTAATTCTGAGCATTCTTTTTTATATGGTGATGAGGATTGAACCCAGGTGCCCCGCACATGCTAGGCGAGTGCTCTACCACTGAGCCACAACCTTAGCCCCTCTGAGCATTCTTGAAAGCTCCCTCATCAGCTTTTGATGCTTTTAGTGTCTCTGTTACTACCTACTTTGAGAATTTTCACTGCTTCATTTGTGGATATTTCCTAAACCCTCATTTTATTGTCTCTCATGTTCAAGGCTTTTAAGTATACCTCTAATATATTTACACTGTGTGTACTAGTTTTATTACATGTTAATCTTTATAGCAAGATATAATAAAATCTGTTTTTTAGATGAAGAAACACAACTAGTTCTTACTGCAGCTCTAGGCCAAAGTCCTGACTCTTCAGATACCAACAGATCAGGTCCACCATTCAAAATGGAAAAAATATGGTGAAAAGAACTCTATTGATAGCCATATTGGAAAGACAAAGTGACATTAAGCATCTCAACCTTGTCTTTGGGGTATTGACATGAGTTTTAGGTTTAAATAGAAGAAGAATTGGGGTAGGGGTAAGAGGTATGCATAATTAAGCATTATTGGTTAAACTGTGATCTGATCAATCATTATCTCAGGTCTCATTCTGTGAATCTCCAGAAGTCCTTTTTTAATTGTAGATTGAGGGGGCAGTCTCTTTTGCTATTCAGGGTGTTAATCAGACCTATGATCTTGGAAGGGGGCAATTCAGTTCTGTTAAGATGGGGTGGGGGGCAGTCTCATCAATCAGTGATCTGCCTGCTAGACTCTGCTGTTTCCTTGGACGGTGTAGGGCAGTGACTACAGACTTTTAACAGGATGTTGTAAGAGTTGATAGGTGAATGTCCCTGCAAATCCTGAAAATACCTTAGTTACTCTTTTAGAGAGATAGGTCAAGTTTGATAAAATTGGGGCTAATAAACCTTGTATTAGCAGTTTTGGGATGAATACTGCTTAAATGATTAGCATGCCTATGTACAGAGCTGAGCAGGAATCCAAAGACAGATAGAAAATGAAGTCAGAGATATCAGCCATTGAGCCTCTGCAGACCCAAATAAAGACTCGGTACTCTTAGCAAAAGCAGCTTTTAAATCTCTGTTATAGTTAGGGAACCATAGTTAATAATTGTTGGAGCTATAATATGGAAGTCACTGCACTTGATTATCCCCCAGATCCTCATACTCAAAACATGGATGTAATGTAAGCATTAGAGGTATGAATTCTAGACTTGGTTCTGCTATAACGACTGATGTTGGACTATTCATTGTACCTTTATTTCATCATCCAGGAAGTAAGGATTTAGTTAGGGTTTGGGATGTAAATAGGATTATTTATAGGATAGGACCTGACTGCCAATTCCAAGAGCCAGAGCTGTTTCTTATCTACTTATAGAGTGATCCTGTGTACTATTTCTTTTTGACTGGGGCTTGAGTACAAATGAATGGATTTCATGTAAAAGGTAGATTTTTTTCCCTCATGATGTAACAGTGGTCCACTTCTTGCTTTTAAAATAGCCTTGCTACTCTGCAACTGAGGCTTATTTTAAAATGTACATGTTTTCTTTTCCTCCTCTTCCTCTTCCTCTCCCTAACCTGAAGATGAAAGGCCACAGGATCACCTTTGTCCCATCCTAGGCCTAAAGTTATCTGTACACACCCATAACAGGAAGGAGATGCCACCAGAAGATACAGGAAATGACCATCTCCCAAGTTAGTATGTGAATTTCAACCCCCATCAGAGCACAAGTAGAACCCCATCTTCCCTGGCCAGGACATCTGGAATGAATCCCTTCTCTAAAACCCTCTTTTCTCCCAGATAGGGAGAATTGCAGCCTCTGAGACAGGAATCTCCAATACTACTTCTTTGCTAGCAAAACAGTAAAATTTCTTTTTTCTTTTTCTCAAAACCGTGTCTTCATTGTTCAGTTGATATCAGGGACAAGGACCAACTTTTGGTAACAATTATGTAGTACACTTTTTGTCTAATAAATGTATTTGTATCCTGTTAAGGGTAAATTTTGTCCATTGACTTAGTGATTTCTAAACAGTTGTGCATATTTGATTTTTTTTTTAATTCCTCCTTTAAACCTTAGTTAAGGTATAACCCAAAAAGACATGTGGATTAGTTTCTTTCTAGTCCAGACATTTTTAGTTATAGCTGTAGAAGTATTTTGGTATTATTTTATTACTTTATGACATACTTTCATTAGCAAGAAATGTAATGAACACATTGGAATAATCTGCTATTTATCTCCAAGTAGTATTATGTTCATTTATTTGAGTATTTCAGTTTTTAACTCATATTTCTAAGTGGGATCTGATCTTTCTTGGATATGCTCTGTATAAAGGTGGCTTATCTAGCTTATAAATAAATTTTTTTATTCTTAATAAAAGCTATTACCTTGTTGGATAATTATATCAGTTTTTAAGAGATGATTTTGTTTTATGATTTAAGGGTAATTTAAATTAGAAAGTATAAAAATGTAGTTTTTCAATTGTTTTTTATTCCAGTTTGGATCATATATAACTCTTATTTCAAGAGATTTATATTAAGTATTTTATTTAAAATATTTCAATTTATTTATTTTTTTCTTGTTGCAGGAGCTAGAGTTAATGCCAAAGACAGCAAATGGTTGACACCTTTACACAGAGCAGTTGCATCTTGTAGTGAGGTATGAAATTTCTCTTAGTAAATGTACTAAGTAGGCCTGCCTGAGTCCATATTCAAATAATGTTTTTAACTATCTAGACTAGTCATTTTACTTGAGAATTTATACAAACCAAATGAATTGTTCCATATTTTAACTATTAATCTTCTTCAGATCTTTTTTCTTCTGGTTCACAATAACCTGTTGCAAAGATTCTGTTGATTGTAATGAAGACATAATCTCATTAATGTGTAATGATTATTTGAACTATTGTTTAGTTAAAACACTGAAATTAGTTTTAATACTACTTGATTGCCCATTTTACCAGTTTGAAATACATAACCTTAAAATGTATAAGGTTTCTTAAAAGAAGGAACAGTTCCTTCTTGTAACTTTATATATTATATATTCTTCAAAATAAGTGATATTTTTAGAGAATGTTTATTGTTTGCAAAGTATTTTTGTAACTTTCGTATTTTCTGTCTTTCTTAACAACTTCATGGGGATAGACATTTAAAGGCAACTAGAAACTACTCAGCTGGTAGTGATGAGATGAAAGCCTGGACCTTTTGTCTGTCATTTTACTACTTTATAAAGTATACTGTGCCTTTCTAAAATACATTGTGTCCAAAGACCTCTTTTACCTAGTTTGATATCAGGGCTTGTTTGAGTTTTTTAAATGTGAAAGTATGTGATTGTGTTAATTGATGTTAATTCAGTGTTTCTTCAGTTATTCATATTGAGAAAGATAAGAAAGGAACTCCTAAATGAAGCAACTGCTCCTGCTCCCATCATAGGACCAAGTAGTTCTAGAGAAGGAAAGACAGCTCTCTCTAGTGCCTCGGAAAAAACTGGGAGAATTCCTGCTTTCTTTATTCTACTTTATTTCTCCTTGTAACCATATATTGAACCCAGTACAAGAGCCTGGCACAAAAAGAGAAGTAGAGGGAAATAATGACTGGGACAGATTACAAATCCTATCATATGACAGAGGCATATAGTGTGTTAGCTGAAGCCTCCTGATAAGGAGGAGGAGGAAGGGTCCACTCTTGAGCAAGCAGTCTGATTCCAATCTAAGACTTTGATGTCCTGTGGCTGATAAACTTATGGAACTTAGATTTGAAGAAGTAGCTTCAGATATCACCTCAAGTTTTTGTGTGATGTTGTTCTAGTTAGCTATTCTTCACTGTGACTAAAAGACCTGACAAGAACAATTTAGAGGAGGAAAGGTTTATTTTGGTTCTCTATTTCAGAGGTTTAGTCCATGATTGGCCATCTCTGTAGCTCTGGGCCTGAGATGAGGTATAACATCATGGCAGAAGGGCGTGGCAGAGGAAAACAGCTCAGGACATGGGAACCAGGAAACAGAGAAAGAGCTCTGTTCACCAAGGATAAAATATAAAACCCAAAGACACACCCAAGTGACCTACTTCATCCAGCCATACCCTACCTGCCTATAGTTACTGCCCAGTTAATCCACATTAGTGGATTAATCCACTGATTAGGTTATACCTCTCTTAGGCTAATCATTTTGCCTCTGAAAACTCTTCCATTGTCTCATGAGCTTTTGGAGGATATCTCGTATCTAAATCATGAACAGATCTGGGGGTTATTATGAAAACTAAGACATATTAGCCAAAATAACTTTGAATTTGAGATTTTGTGAAAAGTTTACTTAGTGTCTTTCTGGGTTAGCCCCACATAAGGATGCTTCTTTAGCAATCAAAATAAACATTACTCTTAGTAAAACCTATTAATGTTAGCCATATCTACCCATTTTTCAATATGACTTTTGTGAACATAACTATTAAAAGTAATGGAGTTTACCAGATTAAAATAATCAGAAGGTACACTTTCTATTTTTGCAGTGGTTATAAAACAGACCAAAAGTTAAAAAAAAAAAAAAAATTAGCATTTGAGCATTGTGGCAGATTCCACCCAAAGACTTTACTCCTAGTTTCTTAAAACTATATACTCATACGGGCTGAGGTTGTGCTCAGTGGCAGAGCGCTTGCCTCGCACATGTGAGGCACTGGGTTCGATCCTCAGCACCACATAAAAATGAAAAAACAAAGATATTTCTTCCGTCTATAACTAAAAAATATTTTTTAAAAAAACTATATACTCGCCTGATCTTAAGTCTGCTTTTCTGCCTAAAAATGAATGAACTATGTAGGATTAATACTCTTGCAGGATTATGGGAAACAGCTATAAAAATGTGGTTGTTACAAGAAAATACCTTCTGTAAACGTGGAACATTTTTGTTTTAAAAAGGAAATCTCAGAATTAAAAGAACTGCTATAGGGTGGGGCTCTAGCTCAGTGGCAGAGCACTTGGCTAGCATGTGTAAGGCACTGGTTCAAGCCTTAGCACCACATAAAACAACCAATAAAGTGAGGCATTCTGTTCATCTATAACTACAGAAAAAAATTTTTAAAAAGGACTGATACTCAAAATTATCAGAACCTACTCAAAATTATCAGTTTCACTGTGTTCCTTTAATTGTTTTGATTACATCCTAAGAGCAAAGTGAGTTATACTTACTGGTGATATAGCTGTGGACATAGAGGGATATGTAAAGAGGTGGGTCTTTCAGAGGCAAAATTTTAAGTAGCTTTTAGTTTAGGTTTTTGACATACCACAAGAAAAACCCTATACAAAATAATTGAAGTGATTGTATTCTTCTCTCTCTCTCTCTCTCTCTCTCTCTCTCTCTCTCTCTCTCTC